GAAGGAAGGAAGGGAGAGAGGGAGGGAGGGAGGGAGGGAATCAGTTCTATTATTAGCTCCATTTTGTGGATAAGAAAACTAAAGAGTTGAGTAACTTGCCCAAAATCACATATAAGTAACTGGCAAAGTCAGGGAGTGAACTCAGATCTGCTAGATTCTTCCCTTTATACCTTATTAGCTGGTGATGGCCCTAGAACTACTGCTCCACCTCATTCACTAAAGGCACCACAGTTTGCCATCTTCTACTCCTGTGCCCATCCTGGCTGGACCTGGTCTTGGCTTTAATCCTAGTCCCAAGAGGACTAAATAGATTCATAATCTGAGAACTGACTTTTTATTCTATGCTTTGAAGTTTTTAAATTCAAACTATAGCCATTACTTCTAAAGAAATAAGCCAAGAATCCACATGGCTATAGTGCTGTTTCCATGAGTGGCAAAAAAGAAATCTACACCAGAGAAAAAAACGGACAATCATCTATTCATTTGTCTTCCTTTTCCAATGGACATGGAGTTCCCCAAGATAGGGGTCAGGTCTATTACACTTTAGTCCTCAAGGCCTAGCAGAAAGCATGGCATGTGGTAAGTGCTTAATGAACTTTTGTTAATAGAACTAAATTGAATATTACAAATAAGCCTATCTTCAACCACACAGCACAGGAGGAAGATAAAGTGAAAAAAACAGGGTACTTAGAATAAGGCAGGCTTGGGCTCAAATCCTAGCTCTGTCCCTTACCAGCCTGACAAATTATAAAATATTAAAATTCCATTTGCTCACCCAAAAGATGGAATAGTAATTCCTTCCTTCCAGAATTGTGAGAACTAGAGTAATAGGTAGGTGCAGAGATACACACTAGTAGAGTGCTTTATTATAAAGAAAAGTACAAACATTGCTCTGGAGAGTAAGAAAAAGCTGTGAGGAGGAGGCTGCAGGAAGCAGAGGAGGTAAGCTAGCTCAGCTAGACCTGATCAGCAGTGTCTGGTAATTCTGTGGCTGAAGAACGCAATGTGTGTGCATTACAACAGCTTTACCTTCCCCTTCCCCTTGTGCTGAAGCTCATAATCAGATGTACTTACATAATAAAATGACAGATTATACATAACGAGCACTTACCAGAGGGTAAGCCCTGCAACGGCAGGTTGTTGTCATCTTTATCCCCAGCACCCAGCACAAGTGCTTGGCACAAAGCTGGTACCCAGTAAATATTTGTTGAATGAATAAGTAAATGGATTAATGACTAAATGACATAAATGGATTAATGACTAAATGACTAGTTTGACATAATAAGAAGTCCAAGTAGTGCTCCATCCCTTCCCACTCCCACTTCAAGCCCTAGCATGTTTTGCCTATCAAAAAAAGGCAAAAAGTTATAACACAACAGCTATTGGAGAAGTCATTCCAATGATGAGAGAACCAATGGCAGTTGGCCCCAATCTCTGTACCATTTTTGTCAAAGCAAATAAATAGTATGTGAATAACCCAGGAGAAGCTAAAAGAGTCCTGAGGCTCCTGGGTGATCAAAGGGTAGCGTCTGGGAGAACAAGAAAAGTAAAAAGAAACACCACAGACAAATCATAGTTTTGCCCCTAACTAGTCATGTTTGTGACCTTGGAAAAGTTACTTAATCAGTATCATCAGCTATATACTATAATATCCATTTTTACAAGATTTATGTAACAATCAAATGAGATACTGTATATAATATGTTAAGAAAATGAAAAAATCCAATGAGATACTGTATATAATGTGTTGAGAAGAATGCCTGGCATGTACTAAGCACTCAATAACTGGCAGCTATTAGTACTATTCCAAGACTAATGTGAATATATGCAAAGTGTCTATTGTGCTTTATAACAAGTGCACAACAGACGTAAGACGAGTTGTCTATAGACTCTGCCCCCAAAAGGTTAAAATCTCACTTAACTGGCCAGAACAACCTGAAGGCAGACTCACTTCCAGCTCACTCCTTATGCTCTCAGGTAAGAAAAAACCAGTACTCCCCTCCTGACCTTGGCATAGCATGGCCACTGAGCTGCAGCTTCCGGAAGGTCTCCTCATACTGAGGCAGTTCCACATATGTAATCAGCCACTGTACCACCTCATCCACGGTCCAATTGTATACTGTGGAAAGAGAAAAGTAAATTATGATTCTAAAATGTCAAACATTGCTTGTACTTATTGTTATGATCATATGTGACCATAACATTTAACATGTTTCTGAGTTTAACATCTCTCTTGCCCATAACATTCTAAGTATGAAAGGAGTACACACTGTATGAGTTTTCTTTATATGAAACCCTGAAAAGACATATGAATAGTGATAGAAAGGAGATCAATGGTTGGCTGTAGCCAGGACCTAACTGAGAAAGAACTTAATGCAATGTTCTGAGATGACAGAAATATTCTGTATCTTAGGCTGAGGTGTGGCTCAGTGGTAGAGACTTGCCTAGCATGTGTAAGGCACTGGGTTCATTCTCAGCACCACATATAAATAAATTCCACTGACAACTTAAAAAAAGAGAGAGAAATATTCTGTATCTTGAAGTGATGATGATTTCACAAATGATAACTCCCATCAAATTCATCAAACTATTTAAAATAGATATATCTTCTTAAATGTAAGTTATATCTCAATAAAGTTTATTTTAAAATGTTTCTTAAATTATAAATGTGACAAGGTTTAGAACCACCCATCCATTCATCCATCATTCAATTATCCAACTAAGTGTTCATAAAGGGATTACTTGGAGCCAAGCCTACAAAAAGTTAATTCCCATTCCAGTGGAAGAGATCAAAAACTAAACAGCATCAGTGAAGCATAGATTCTGATAAGAAATAGACAACAAGCACAGAGGAGAAAGGAAATATCTGACCAGGGTTTAGGCTCAGGGAAAATGATAAATTGCAACTTAAAAGATAATAAATTAGTAAGAAGCCTGGTGCACTGGCACATGCCTGTAATCCCAAGGACTAAGGAAGCTGATGCAGGAGGCTCACAAATTGAAAGCCAGCCTCAGCAACCTAACAAAGCCCTAAGCAACTTAGAAAGAACATGTCTCAAAATAAAATATAAAAGGAGTGGGGGTGTTGCTCAGTGATTAAGTGCCCTTGGGTTCAATACCTGGTGCCAAAAAATAAAATAGTAAGAGCTCATCTGAAACATTTTATGAATATCAGGAAAGAATGCACCTGATACAGAATGAAGGCAGGTGCAAAGAAAAATGTGAAATTTAATGTATCTAAATTATGGAATGTAGTAGCAGAAGGAAATTGAAAACATGTCATGAAGTGTCTTGACTGCCATGCTAAGAAAGCTAAGCCTGTTTCAGGTTGCTCTGGCCTGCTAAGAGAGATCCAACCCTACATAGGAAGAAAAGTATAAACCTCTCTACTCCTATCTTTTGTGCATTTTTTATAAAACATGTTAGGCACTTTGTATCTATTCTCTTATTCAATGATGCTATTCAGGGCTGTGCTGTCAAGTAATAACCAGTAGCCACAAGTGCTGACTTGAATATAAACTTACTAAACTTGGATAAAATTAAAAATTCAGTTCCTCAATAGCACTAGCCACCCTTCAAATGCCTAATAGCTAGAAGTGACTAGTGGCTACCATGTTGAACAACACAGAATACATATAATTTCCATTATTTAAAAAAAAAGTTCTGTTGAATAGCACAGGTCAAGATAATTTACTATTAGAATGTTTCAATTTTATATTTTTATTTTGAAGATAATCTTAAATTAAAAAACAAAAATATAGTTTGGATTATCTACATATGTAAGAGTACAGGCTCTCAACTTCATTAACCACATAGCATTTGTGTTCATAATTGTGTTAAAGCAAAATAGCTAGAAGATATTTGCCTGGAATTTTATGACATATGTGCTTTAAATCAATTACCAATATGCCTCAAATTTAGGTTTGTAACACAAAAGAACCTAGAGGCAAAAACTGATATTTTTATATAAAATATATTTTCTTAACTATAATTCAAATTTTCAAGATAAATGTTCCACTACTCAATATAAATTGCCAAGAACTGTATCCAGAGAGATTGTCATAACATCAAATGATCACCTAATATGATTGATCTATTTGATAGGTCATAATAAATATGGGTCATTTTTACAACCAAGCATCCACTTCTCCTGTTGGTGGCAATAGTACTCTGAATTTGAATTAGGAAAAATCACCACTTGCTCTCAGGTAATATGATTCAGACAAAGCTAAATCAACTGGTAGGCGTAAAGAATATAAACCACGTGGGGCTGGGGTTGTGGCTCAGCAGTACAGTGCCCATCTAGCACGTGCGAGGCTCTGGGTTCGATTCTCAGCACCACATAAAAAATAAATAAACAAAATAAAGGCATTGTGTCCACCTACAACTAAAAAATATTTTAAAGGGCTGGGGATATGACTCAAGCGGTAGAGCACTCGCCTGGCATGCGTGCAGCCCGGGTTCAATCCTCAGCACCACATACAAACAAAGATGTTGTGTCCGCCGAAAACTAAAAAATAAATATTAAAATTCTCTCTCTTAAAAAAATATTTTTAAAAAGAATATAAGCCACATTAAGTCAATTAATGTAATATAGTCCATCCTCTTGTCCAGAGCGCTCAATTCAGAAATGAGCACTTAACCCAACTTGAAGTTGAAGAAACTAAAAACCAGGATTTTTATTTGGCCCATAGGGAATAGACTTGCTTTTCTACCCCTGACATCTCGTATGAAATGATCCCAAACTATAATATTGATAATAATAATATTAATATACAGCATCACTTATCGTGGTACTATTCTAAGCACCTCAGATATATTAACTCATTAATCTTTACCATCACCATTCTCATTTTATCCTCATTTTAAAGATGATAAAACTGAGACACAGAAAGATTATATAACTTTCCCGAGGTTATACAACTAAGAATTGGTAAAGCCAAGATTTAGTCTCAGGTAGACTGGCTCCACAAATGGTGTTCTAAGCTATTACAATCTATCTATATCTATCCATCTATCTCTCCTCCCTGATGCTGCTAAAAGCCTTCATTGAGAGGCAAAGCTGAACCAAGAGGTGAATCCAAATGACATCATCCAAACCCTAAGTCAGAACAGTCCTATTTATAATATTTCAATTTGGGGACAATAAGTAAATTTTCCCCTTTTGCTTATATCAGATTGAGAGGATTTTTTTGTCATAATAGAAGCCAATTCTAATTGAAATAAATATTGATCATTTGCAACATGGCAAACCACATCTTCATTATACCTGGAGATAACAGCTAATTGTCCCTTAATATAATGTTGCAATTTTTAATGGATAATTATAAAAATTATTCTTTTAAAATAATTTTGATATTTGTGTGGTATTTAGACATAAAGAAAACAAATTTAACTCTCTACTTTGTCAAAAGTCAATTACTATGTAAAGGAACTGAAGTGGAGTTAATACACAGGGAATACATTCATACCAAATGAAGTCAAATGAGATCATGATATTTTATACATATCAAAGTTTGCAGTAGCTGAAATGGTGAAAAATAGTGGGAGGAATGAGTCATCAGGTGGCACCTAATAATACAGACAATGATGAACTAAAGAGTCTGGGAGCAACTGAAAGTTTGGCATGTACAGTTGCTGCAAAAAGGTACCATTTCATTAAATTTAGAGCTTATTTTTACTTAAAAGTATAAATCTGTTTTATTTATATTTGTTACAAATTTAATACAGCAACTTAAACTTCATTATGTTTGTATATATTTAAATAACCAAACAAAAATAATTTAAGTCAGCACTGCAGATATAAATTATTTTCCCCAGAAGAAATATGTACATTTCTCAAATTTGAAAACCACTGCTGTGAGCACTAAAAAGCCAAAAAAATTTTTAGAGACAGAATAATATGGTGATTTTCATCATTCTCCTCTTTTAGGATCTACATCTTTACCCAAAACTATCTTTTGTCAGATGTTGTCTAATTTCCCTTTAATGGTCCGGAAACATTGAAGGCTTATGAACTACGTTCTATTCATTTTTGCTTATTCATTATTTCTAATATAAAAGCTTAATATACAGGGGCATCAATAAGAATTTACTCAAAAAATAACTAACCTAAATGAGGAGTTCCAGAAATGTTCTAACTGTGGGCCTCCAAACAACATCTCTAAAAATATTCAGTTCATGTAGATGGGTAACTTCTGAAATGTTTGTCAAAAAAAATAGACATTCCTCATACAGGCATGCCTCATATCTTAGGTAAGCTCACATAATCTACAAAAGTTGGAAAATTTGGACCAGTCACTTCATTCTCCTATTTTTGTCACAGAGAAGTTCGGTACATGATACAAAACAGCCAGCCAGGAAGACATCATGCATGAAACAAAGTTAAAAGCAAAATGTCCTCAGGAAGATGCTGGAGCTCAGGAAGAAAGTTCTGATGCTGACTGACTTTGAAGATAGATTAGATTACATGCAGAGGCACAGGAGGTGAGACAAGAAAGGTGGTAGGGGAAGGAAATAAGGCAGGTATGGTATGCTCAATGACTGTATCCTAGAAGACAATAGACTGGAGGCTTAGGCAAAGGGTGTTCAGTCACTACTTGGCTAAATTCCTAGTTCCCACACTAGATTTACATTGGAAGGAAAAGAGAAACTATTTCTAAGAGATATGGTCAAATCCCAGGATATGGGAAAAGAAGGATGATAGAGTTGGGATTATTTTGAGGAAAGAAGGACGCACTGTTATTCCTAAAAATAAAATTGTATCTTCACACATTACAAATATGACCATTTACTATGGTTTGGAGTGTCAGGTAATATAGGCAGACAAGAGTGACACACATATAAAAGGCAGACAAGTGCTAGCTTGTAAAGTACAGAGAACAGCACACTCCCACCAATGCTGCCAATGGAGTTCGGCTGCATCCAGCACAAAGAGGCCTCTCTGTTTGGCATGTAGAGTAGAAAAAAAAGGACATTTTTTTGTTGCTAGAAAGGCCTAAGGCTAGCGGTGCTTCAAGGGCCTTTTGTCTCCTGGGAGGATGCCTTAATACAAGCCTAGACATAGACTCTCAACATGTAGAAACTACTCTATCAGCACCCTACACAACAGGAGTCATT